CCCCAAAACCCCAAAACCCCAAAACCCCTGATCTGAACTGCTGTATTGAACAACTGTATTATATTTTGAACTTGACTCTACTGAGGCCACTGCTGGCGAGGACCTCTTGGATTTCAGCCCTGGTCAAGCAGCTCTGAAGGTTCAGGGTTTGTAAGCTTAGGTTGAGGCAAGGGGAAGAGCCCAAGCCTTTGAGTAACGTAAGGAAGAGGCTCAGGTTGGAGCGTGGGGTGCTAGATGGGAGGTGAGGGAGGAAAGGAAGAAGTGGAGAGAGGGTTGTTGGGACGAGAAGGGGGCTTGGAGGGTAGTGAAGTTTTGGGGATTTATTCTATAGATATCACTAAAATGCACTTACCTCTTATAATTTAATCGGTAAATTAAATTTATTTGTCTTTAAATTCTTTTCACAACAATAATTTCCTGCACCAAAATCAATATTATAAACTTCTAAATCTATTGTACTTCTCCCAACCTCCAGCTCTTCACCCCCATCCCCCTGAGTGCTTACCTTAATGGCTTATTCAAAGCTAATGCTCATGTACTATCAAGAAAGCTTGATCCTGCAAAACTGAGCTCTCGAATCTTTGTATTTTCTAATGATTTAGAAAAATCAGGAATATTATGGATAGTCAGTTTGCAGGAATAAAATTTCAGAGCATTAACATGCTTGAATGATGTAATTAGCCTCTTCAGTTGGCTAGACTTGACCAGAAAATCTTGGAACTTCATCTCTTTCAAAACTTTGAAGCTGATTCCAACAAGTTCATTTAAGTATGGAGAGATACTAGCAGTGACTCCAGGAATGTGATATATCATAAAGCTTTTTACCTTGTCAGGAAATCAGCATTTCAAAAACTTAATATATTGCTTCTTTTTTATTCGACTTTAGGAAAAGGCATAAATTATTTGTAGATGGGAATGCCAACGGAGATGCCTTATTTCAAAAAATTCCTTTCTTTCCAAGAGCTCCATGACAAATATACACTTAAGATACAACAACCTTTCAGAAGCTCAAAATCTAGTGAATGATGATAAGATTGAAGCATTATGAGTAAAGAGGAAGTTCTTTTACTTTCTGAGTAGGTCTTAATCTCTGAACTATAAATAAGTGAATTCTTGTTATAATTTTTGATACAAAACAATAACAAACCCGAACTACCACTTAGTGTATATTCTGTAATATTTCTGAGCTACCAAGCAATTTCATGATATTTGGAATACAAATTCCCCGTACCCCCAACAAGATGTAATCCTCTTCCATAATGCGCCTAACTGTAGCTAAACCCCGTACAACCACCACAAGACTTTCTTAAAGCGAGTGTAACGCACTCCCCAAAACCCCTTTGTGCTACTTACCTGATTTTGATCTGCAACATCTCCTTTGCCAAATCTAAATGCTCCATTTTACTCTTTTATTTCAACCTACCTCCCCTCCTATGGGGTTTTGGGGTTTTGGGGTTTTGGGGTTTTGGGG